TATGTATGTATATGTGTGTGTGTGTGTGTGTAACTGTATAAAGGTACTAATTACGGATTGTAAGTACTCCAAATGTGCAGCACAAGCAGATTGATATTACACCAGTTGTCCCTTATTGCACTTATTCTGTTCTTATTACAATTTTTGTTAAGTTCAGTAACAGCTGACAAGTAAAAACTATTTTTAAATGTTTGTTCTTGTCTTGAATGGTCTTTTCCCTGATAGTAACAGTTCAAACAGATCATGTCCAGGGTGAGACCTTTAAGATGGTGTGGGCTTTTTCTATGCAGCAGGAACTGTGTAGATCTTCCAGTGAGAGAAGAGGGCAGCCCACAAACATCTGGACTGTGTTGCTAACTCTCTGGAGCCCTTTTTTCTGAGCCACTGTGCAGCTAAGATTCCACACAGTGATGCAATATGTTAAGATGCTCTTTATGGAGCATCGGTAGAAAGACACCAGCAGTGTCTGGGTGATGATGTTCCTCCTGAGCACTCTCAGGAAGTATAGTCTCTGCTGGGCTTTTTTCAGCAACTGAAGTGTTCACGTTCCAGGTCAGATTCCCCGCAGTATGGACTTCCAGGAAACAATAGTCATCTACTGTCTCCACACTGCCTCCACTAATCAGTGGTGGAACCGCCATTTTCTTTTTCTTGAAGTCGATGATCAGCTCCTTAGTCTTTCATATGTTGAGGAGCAGAGTGTTCCCCCTACACCAAGCAGTCAGCTGTTCCACCATGTCCCTGTAGACAGACTCTAAATGAATGAGCAGGGGTGCAGTCATATGTGTAGAGGGCATAGAGCAGGGGGCTCAGCACACAGCCCTGTGGGGCGCCCGTGCTGAGGCTGGGGGCCACAGATGTGTGACTTCTTCCCTCTAACAACCATCAAAGATTTACAAGAACATTACTCTCTACTTCTCCTCTCCTACAGCTTCTCCCTGTGTTCCACTTTTGTAAATGAACACTTACCTTTCACTGATTGACTTTCACGTTTGTACTCTGGGTATTCAACCAGTAACCCAAAAACGTGATACTTTGCAGTAAAGCAAGTCAGCTCATTCCTCATAAGTGACTGTTTATACATTTTTCCAGTAACAGTGCATCACTTGTCAGAAAGTTTGCACTGCAAGCAGACTTTTAAAGCTTGAGAGTAGCTCTGCTATGGTGCTTTACACAGGATTGAATCAGTTTATGATTACCATTTTTTTGGGCCTATAAGGCGCACCGGATTACAAGGCGCAATATCAGTGAACGGGTCTATTTTCATACATAAGGCACACTGGATTATAAAGTGCATTAAGTGAAACAAAACAGTCAGATAAGTCCAACTTTATTCCACTCATTCACAATACTCCTGACTACAGTAGCCATTATGTGCTGACAATCCATCAAGCGATGCAGCTTCATAGATTACCAAAGTCATACAAAAACATTTTGACAGATTTTTGAGTGCCGTGTACCACATAAAATGGTTCGAGGTCATTAAGCACAACCAGAATTATTGCATAAGGCACACCGGACTAAAAGGCGCACTGTCTATTTTTGAGAAAATTAAAATATTTTTAAGTGTGCCTTATAGTCCGAAAAATATGGTACTATATTTTCTGTATTACAGTACTTTAAACTGGAAACATGTCAAACGCATTTCATAGGATATATGGAAACATCTCTAAACAGCCTGTTTTTCCTGTTTTGTTCTAAATATTTTTGAGTAGGCGAATTTGTTGTCTTTCTTTTCTTTCACTTTCTAAGATTTTCTATTGTGTAAAAAAATGTATGTGTATTTGGAAAATTAAGCAAGAAGGGTATTCAGGCATAAATGCAGAAAATCCAGTTAATCCCGTGAGCGTGCTGCCTTCAGGAGCGCCTCAGAAAACATTTTAAAACAGGATCAAGCTGGAACAGTGGTGGAAAAAGACATGAGTTAAATTATACATTTTTAATTACTTTATTTATTTAAAACATCAATGCAATGTTAAAATATACAAGTTGAATCAAAAAAGTACCTGAGTACTTTTAAAATTAGAATGTATAATTTGAGCACCTCCTGTTTTACTTCATATTGCGCTAAAAATAACTTCAACCCTTCACATATTGTTACACTAAAATCTGCTGGATTAAAAACAAGCACTGTGGACTGTGCCAACCCTGAGTTGGTTTTAATTCAGTGGAGTTGGGTTTTCAGGTTCACCCAGTACAGCCTGCTGGTTACGTTTTGCATTCAAGATTTAGTTAAAATGACAAATTTCTTAAATTTGAGCTTCTACAAAGTTTAATTATAAAGAACAATCAAAAATCTGTGTGATTACATCTAGCTGTCGCTAAATGGTATTAGCATTAGCATCAACTCATGATTTTTGAAATACAAACTAACTATCTAGTGCAAAGTTATTAACAAAGCCAACTAAATCAAACAATTTTTTACAAGCTGTTTAACATCATTAAAAAAAACAACATCCAGTCAAGTTTGATTTAGTCAGCTTCTGGCTTCAAATGGCGGACTGTGAAAAATGACATGGCTCATTTCCAACCAATTACTGATGATCCAACAGCTTTTACCCAGTATATACCTGCTTTAAAGAGTGGAATACAGTTTATTCCATTTACAAAACCTAAACTGAGTCTGGAAAATTTTAAAAGATGGATAAAACCCTGCAGCCGACCTCATGAGCAGCTGAATACAACAGTTATAAAACAGGAAGTACCACATGTTCATTGAAGGTAACTGCAAGTAAATCTTCCATTTTCTGTCATAATTACATGTATGCTTAATTATTAAATTAAAGGTTGATGCTTAAAGCTAGTTGTGCTTTGTTTTGTGTGTTTTAAATGTAGATATATGTTGCAACTTCTGGTTGCATAAGTTTAGTCTCTTTGTTATGATCAGTTAACTGATTTTGCACAAAGTGCTTATCAGGTTGTGTAATGTAAATCAGAGCACTACATCTGTGGCATCTTAGCTAATGCGTCTGTATTGCACACCGCTAGCTTAGCACTACTTCTTGTTGTGCCATGCTCTCTAAAATGGTTATTGAATCAAGTGTTTACTTATGGAGGTAAATGTAGGTGTTTAACAACCTGTTAAAATACACCAGAATGCAGGAAATGGCATCTACTTTATTCAAAATTTTCTGCGGGAGGACCCCCAGACCCGCCCACCAGTGTGTCATCCCCCCCCACCCCCCCCCCCCCCCCCCCCCACACACACACACCAGTGTGTCATCCACCCCACAAACCACTATCACCCACCCCCCCACACACATTATGAATGCTTCTGATGCTAATGGTCACCATGATGTTCAAGCTAAGAGCCACTGGCAGCACTGGGGGCTGAGCACCCCTAAAGGTCAGATTCTAGAATCGCCCCTGGTGACCCGGAAAGGAATAAACGGTAAAGATAATGGTTGAGTGGATATAGGAGAAGATAAACTTCAATAAGTTGAGCAGTGACAGTGCTCGTCTCAAAAAACAATAGACTGTAAATTAATTTATTTTAAATAAATAAAAAATAATAAAGTAGACCTATGTATATTGCTGTATTGATCAAATAACCTAAATGTGACAACAAAATACATCTATTGAAATTCTTTCATGGCTTTTGGTTTTGGTGTCAGCCCTAGATTAACATGAGTGGACCAGGGAATGAACCAGAGCTCAGGTGAGTCTGATCCATGTCCTGCTGGACCATTTTGTGGCTCTTTAGGTAAGAGCCCTTGGCAGGCGTGTTTGCGGTGATGTACTCCCAACTCCATTCAGAGTTCTGGCTGGTTTACATTTGGTCCATTGTCTTGTCAGACCAGATAGGTTTGGTCTAAGATGGGATGTCCTCTGATTTGGCACTGAGCCTGTTCACGTGAGTGTTTGCTTGGGTTCTTAGGGATGAGTCAGACATCTGACATAACCGAGCGTTGAGCTTTGAGTTTCAAAGTGAATATTTTTTGTAATGTAACAGGGTCCGGACAGTGGAGTGGGGATGACTGAACGACACAAGCCCTTACCCTAACACACACACACACATGCACGCACGCACGTGCGCACACACACACACACTTATTTACTCTACAGCTTGTAAGTGAAAGCATATAAAAAGTAAAGTCAAGGGACTTTCTTCTTATGGTTCATAATAGTGGGACATAGTGGGACAACTGGGACATTTTTCCTCACACATGGTGTAAGACAAAAATAAATAAAAAACATAAAACATGGTACCAGGCGGTAGAATGATGAGCACATTTTTTTATGTTTGCCAGTGAATGCCTTACTAATACAATCAATATTTAAATCAATATTAAAATGTAGTTCATGCTGTAAAATGTGACAGTACACAAAGGATTAACATTTCAAAGTGCCGGTTCTGAGTACCTGAAAGTACCGGCCCACTTCAAACACTGGCAGACTGTTTATAGATGTAAATCTTTTTTAAACAACCTGCAATTTAAAAAAAAATAATAATTTAAGTGGTAGAATTGTTTAACCAAAAATGTAGCTGCAGTTCCATTGCTCTGCATATTTTCAAGATGTCTGAGTACTGAAATGCAAAATGTCACTCATTAACAAGGGATCTTAGGACAGAAAGCACCTCTCCCAGACCATGAACTTCAAACATTTTGTTTCCTGCATTGTTCCTTCTGCATTTTGCACAGTGCATAGAAGTCTTGTACCATTGTTCCATGCATGTTTTGCAGCCAGTAATGCTCTGGCAACACAGCGAGAACATCGGTTCCTTGATGAACACTAAAAACAAGCCAAAGAAAGGAGACAAAAGTTATTTATTAATCTTCATCTGCACCAACAGTATTACCGAGACTTTGGAATTATAGTGTGTATGTATCTCCAATGTATTGCTTTAAAATAATGTAATGAATTATAGCGCCATTGGCAGTTAGCAAAAGTTTACAACTGCTGATGTCATAAATTTCTCAGAGAATGTAAAGTGACTCAAAATCCGACACACGCCAATTACAAGTGATCTAATTCCTATACTTTTGCATACTTACTCTTACAAACAAAACAGCTGAGCCCCTGCTTAATGGTCTGGAGCTGGGGGGGAGACAGGATGACTTTCTGAGCGGCAGCCAGATCAGTGAGCTCTCTGATCGCAGCAGTGACATCTGGTAAGTTCTGTGAAACCAGCAGAAGCTCGTGAATTTTCTCAGTGACCTCTCCAAGACCTGCAGCATCTTCATCTTTTCCACTGGTCCTGGGACAAAAATAACACATAATCTTGATAATAGACAGACAAACAAGCTGACGGATAAAATTAATCATCTTTGCATTAATGATCAGAATTTAAAGCTAAATAGGCTAACCTTTGATTTGTCTTGTCGACAGAGGTTCTGGTATGGGAATTTGGCAGAGTACCAGTACTTTGAGCGGTGGCCATATGTGGTTGCTTCAATGAAAACCCCTAAAAGAACAAAAACATATAATAATGTGCTTTAAAAAGTATTCGTACGTCATGAATTATTCTACATTTTGTCTTGAAACAACCACAAATTGTAACTAAAACTGAAAGGCCATAAGTTGTGAAGTATAAAAAGTGATGCATGGTTTGAAAAAGGTTTTTTCACAAACAAGGATGTGTATTTATGTTTACGCCAATTTAAAATTTAGATCAAAACATGTTCAAAATATGCACTGATACAATTAAAAATGTTAAGTGTGTGTCATGTAACATAAAATATGTAAATTATTTTCAAATATCTCTCTTTAAGCAAATATACAGGATGAAAAGGAAATGTTACATCCTTTCTTTATTATTCTTTACAAATCAAAGGGGTTGAGTTCTGACTGTAACCAGGTTTTGTAATTGCTGTGGATCACTTTTTCAGTCCGACGTGTTTCAGCTTACTCACAGCTTTAATCGGATGTGGGTTCCGGACGGTCCTGATGACTTCATCAAACACCGTCTTGTGGCCGTGCTCTGTCAAAGCTGAGCACTCTACATATTTCACTGCACCTGTTTTCCAAAATATAATTAGCAAAAAAAGATTTGTCACACTCACACTGAGTCACACAATAAGTATAGGCTTCCAATACCCAACTAACTCTTGACTCAAAATTGTAAATCATCAGCATTTAATATTATTAAATGAAAGTGGTAGCTGATGTTTTATAAACTTCATTTTCCTCCCTGGATTTTAAGGATGCTTAAATTCAGATTAAAACAGCTCCTTTAGTTCTGGTTGATGAAGAGCCAGAACACATTTAACGGTGTAGTGATCATAAACGTAGTTTTGTTTTTTGTCATTGCTGTTGTTTGAGGGATAACATTTCAAAGAAAAGTGACACAACTGTAACTACTGATGATAAGAGCATCCCATTACCAAACATGTCTTTGGACGATATTTGTTGCGACTCATAAGAGGGGGGATATGTAACGATCATCCATTCATCTGATCCATCCATTGTCTTTACCCACTTCTTTTTTGGGGTTGCGGGGTTCACTGGTGCCCATATCCAGTAATCACTGTGCAAGAGGAGGGGGACACCCTGGACAGGTCTCCAGTCCATCACAGAGACACATAGAGACAAACGAGACAAACAACCATTCCCTCTCTCACTCACACCTAGGGACAATTTAGAGTTACCAATCAGCCTAACATGCATGTTTTTGGTCTGTGAGAGGAAACCAGAGTACCCGGAGAAAACCCATGCTGCATGGAGAGAACATACAAACTCTACCCAGAAAGGCCCCAGGCCGGGATTTGAACCACTGTGCCGCCTGTGTAATGATCATGCCTGGAATATTTTTTCTAACGGCATCAAAATATATTTGCTTCTCAAAGTTAACTTAATGTAGCTGCTATTTTAGTAAAAGTTACAATCAGATTGTTTTGTTCGAAATACAGCAGAACAACACAACTCTGATCAAGAAAATACTATATTATGAAAGACAAAATATAAAAAAACATTCATCCATCCATCCATTAAACAATTTTAAACAATATTTCCTTATGTTTGAGCCAGGTTGTGAGAGCAGCAGCTTTAGCAGGGAAGTCTAGACATCTCTTTCCATAGTCACCTCTTCTAGCTCTTCTGGAAGGATTCCAAGGCCAGCCAAGAGACAGTGTCTCCAAAGTGTCATGGGTCTCTGTCCCTAAGGAGGTGTCCAGGGTGCACCCATACTGGCTCTTCTCCTTGTGGAGGAGTGGTGGCTCTACTATGTGTCTCTTCTGGATAAATTGACTTCTCAATACCGCTAAAGGAGAGTCCAGCTACCCTGCAGAGGAAACTCCTTTCAACCGCCTGTATCACCAATCTCAATCTTTCAATAACAATCCAAGTTTTATTGCCATAGATGAGGTTAGGAACGTAAACCAACCAGTAAACTTTGTCTTACAGGTCAGCACCCTCTTCACCACAATGGACCAGCACAGAGTCCACAATACTGCAGAAGACACACCAACCCGTATATCAATCTCACACTCCATTCTTCCCTCATGCATGAACAAAACCCCAAAATACTTGAACTTTTCCACTTGACACAGAACCTCACTCCCAATCCAGAATGTAAAAATATGTTTATCTGTGGATCTACAGCTGACCTATTTCTTTAGCCATGAACAAGCCTTGGTCACAGGTGATTGGTGAGATTTTCTTCTCTTTTAGCTTTTTCACTGTGTCCTCATCATCTCTCAGGTCCAGCATGGTGCCCACAAGGATTATAGGTGCCTTGGGGCAATGATGTCGCACTTCAATATGCCACTGCAGAAGGAGCACAGATTGGGACTTGTAGTACTGATTGTACATGAACAGCATTTTTAAAGATTTGGTCTGGCTACTTCGATAATTTGATTTGCATAAACAGAAACATGAAAGCATTGTATATAGTGCAATGTGTTGCAAATTGGCTACATTCAAATGACTGTATTTTAAACACATAATTTCTGGATCAGAATATTTGGTTTCTTATTTGAGTTTCAGCTGTGTCAAAATGGCACTTATTGTTTTCCTAGTTTTGTTATTATTCTACAGAATGATCAACCTGGGCTGATCTGAACATCGGCTGTACTTTACCTTGGCAAGAACATTTTCAAAGGAAGATGGAACGATGAGGGAAAAACAAATCAGGAACACATCCTGAGAGGAAAAAAACAAAAACAAAGATGTGACAAAAAAAGATTTAAGAGTCTAATATTCATTAAAAAAAAAAAAAAAAAGACCATAATTTCTCAAAAGAGTAATGGATCTGATACCTTCCGGAAAGTTTATTTAAAATGTATCCATTGATTTCATTACATATTTTGCAAACAGACAAACAGGATGGACTCTAAAAGCTTTTGCCAATATTTTAAGCAAAGATCTCTCGGTAAGCAAACTGTGCCCTGGGGGTTGACTCTCAGCTATGACCACACTAGATTTGAGCTCAATATTTGTCAAATTGACTGAGTTACAGCCAATTTTGTATTTGCTAAGTTTGCTGAGCAGTGGTGGCCATCTTTGATTGTGATGAATACAGAAGTTAACCAGTTGTAGATGTACACCCACTCATAGGCATCGCAACAATTATATGTGATGGGGAAATCTCCCCTACACATTTTTTAAATATTTATTCAGATCACACACACACACACATTTGTCATGAAATAGTTCCTATTAGTTTCAGTGACATTGCTATTTCTTTGTGAACAAATCTATTCTACTTTATTAATAGGAGAATACTCAAACCACTAAAAATCCATTCTAGGTTTTCCTGGTTACCTACAACAACTCCACACCGCAGGCAGTGTTTCCCCTCGGGGGACCTCTGTTTTGCGCACTAGCTTAGTGCTGGCACTGGCAGTTGTTGACGGGGTCAGGATGTGTGAAAGAAGAGGAGAGCTGTTGTATCTTTGCTAACGTGTCTGTATTGCGTGCCACTAGCTTAGTGCTACATTAGTTTTGGCAGGGTCACTGCCCGATCTGTTACCGAAGCCTGATCCGTAGTGTCAGCGCTAAAAGGAATACTTTCGGGTTGCACAGATGGCCATTGTTTATGAATAAGAACTGTCTTAATTTACTTAGAAAAGTACGTGCTCTATTGCCACTGATCTTCATATTGCTAATTTACGCCATTCGTATTTCCATTAAAATCATTGACATATTTACGTCATTGGTTAAAATGATATACGACACATTAGACTTGACTTCCAGCATTGGCTGATTGAGAAAACCCTGCAAGATAACGGATTAATTATTTCCATGGTGAAACAGTGCTGCTCAGTGATGAAGCTGCATATAATTTCAACATGGGGGTGGGGGGGGGATGCATGAGAGAAGCAGAGTGTGCTCTATTCACACAAGGAGAGCTATTGGTCAGGCTACTTCTTCTTGTGCCGTGCTCTCTAAAATACAAACCGGATTCCAAAAAAGTTGGGACACTAATCAAATTGTGAATAAAAACTGAATGCAATGATGTGGAGATGGCAAATGTCAATGTTTTATTCTTAATATAACATAGATGACAGATCAAAAGTGTAATCTGAGTAAATTTAACATTTTAAAGGAAAAATATGTTGATTCAAAATTTCACAGTGTCAACAAATCCCAAAAAAGTTGAGACAAGTAGCAATAAATGGCTGGAAAAAGGAAATTGAGCATATAACGAACAGCTGGAAGACCAATTAACCCTAACTAGGTCAAATGACAACATGATTGGGTATAAAAAGAGCTTCTCAGAGTGTCAGTGTCTCTCAGAAGCCAAGACGGTAAGAGGATCACCAATTCCACCATTGTTGCTCAGAAAGATAGTGCAGCAATGCCAGAATGGTGTTACCCAGCGTAAAATAGCAAAGACTTTTAAGTTATCATCATCAACCGTGCATAACATCATCAAAAGATTCAGAGAATCTGGTATGGGGTTGCATGAGTGCTTGTGGCATGGGCAGCTTGCATGTCTGGAAAGGCACCATAATGCAGAGAACTATGTTCAGGTTCTAGAACAACATATGCTCCCATCTAGACGTCATCTCTTTCAGGGAAGACCCTGTATTTTTCAACACAATAATGCCAGACCACATTCTGCAGCAATCACAACACCATGGCTACGTAGGAGAAGGATCCGGGTACTGAAATGGCCAGCCTGCAGTCCAGATCTTTCACCTATAGAGAACATTTGGAGCATCATAAAGAGGAAGGCGCGACAAAGAAGGCCCAAGACGATTGAACAGTTAGAGCTCTGTATTAGACATGAATGGGAGAGCATTCCTATTTCTAAACTTGAGA